TGTGTTGATGCCATGAAATTTAAAATCAACTTATTTTTCCCTTAAAATGATACATTTTCTCAGTTTAAACATTTGATATGTCATCTGTTGTATTCTGAATAAAATATTGAAATTTGAAACTTCCACATCATTGCATTCTGTTTTTATTCACAATTTGTACAGTGTCCCAACTTTTTTGGAATCGGGTTGTACTTTAAAACATAATTTATTGCTGTGATCGAAGCGGAAATTTTTTTTTAGCATCATTACTCCAGTCTTTAGTGTCACATGATCCTTTAGAAATCATTCTATGCTGATTTATTAAAAGTGTTGGAAACAGTTTTTGCTTCTTAATAATGTTTGGAACCTGTGACACTTTTTCAGGATTCTTTGATGAATAAAAAATTCAAAAGAACAATTTAATCAATATATTTTATAACAATATAAGGCTTTTTTTTATCAATATTACTGATAACATTACATTCAGCAATGTATCTTGCTGAATAAAAGTATTAATGTCTTAAAAAAAAGAAAGAAAAAAAATGTACTGACCTAAAATCTATCATATTATATTGTTTGTCAACACAATTTCCAGAAAGATTTACACAGAATAAGATATTTAGTCCAAATTGAGCCCTGCACTGGGTCTGCCTGGAGAATACTTGAAACATCTGACTATTTACTAACTTTCATGAACTAAACAATTTCTTTCCACCAAGTAGACTTAAATGTGAGAGCTGATATGAATTTGAAATAATGCAGAATAAGTGGTGGCAAGGTGGAAGGATAATTAAAATTTGCAGTCGAGATCATGCTACCAGTCCACTGAGAAATTAACCTGGCTTCACATCCCTAATCTTTACACAAAGCACCTCTTGAATAACTGAAGAATATCCTCTTTAATAATATTCACAGTGAGCAATAATGACTGCAGAGTGAGAACTGCACATTTGGAGTAATAAATACTGTAAAGATTTGACAAAATCAGATGATAAACTAGCAAAAATGAATTTTGTTTCGACTTGCCATCAACTTTTTTCATGTAATATTTTGAGTAAAGTACAGAACGTTTACTGAATCAGAATATACTGAATTAAGAGCATAAAATAATATGACGCAAATGACAGTATATGCAACACTTATTTTTATAAAACGGTTATTCTTTCACAACTTACACAAATAAATAAATAAATCCTTGATGTTCACCCCTCCCTCTTTCATTCCTTCATGGGTGCTTTCCATTGAATTCCTTTAGAATAATGTAATCATTCATGGCATACCTGCTAATTATTTTTGTAGAGGTTAGATGCCTTGTAAACCTTTATTTTCTCGTCTAAGCTTACATCAAAGAGGTGCTTTCACATCACACCTCCGGCACTCTGTTAAATGTTAGAGTCCTAAGCAGATTGAACGCCACTACAATTATGCCAGAAAAACATGCGGCATGACAGTAAAAGTTGTTGGTGGGCATGTTAAATGTACAGGCCTCAGCTATGCAGCATCGCAGTGAGTTATGCCTCTGGCTACTGCTAGGGGGCGACACACAGCAGCATTATTACAGGATTCATAATTATAGGACTCAAACAACAATTATCACATTACTTCAAGTCATACTGCAAGTGTTTTGTTAAATAACAGGGTTGCATACATACATGCATGCATTATTAAACGTGTGTACTGGATCATTTCTATA